TGTTCAACTTGTTGCTCATGGTGTGCAGTAGCCTTTTGTATGGCAGTAATTTTTCCCCTCCAATGTTTGAAGAAGGTCTACCTGATCTCCATGTATGGAAAAAAAAATCTTTTCATTCAATACCATCATAGTCTGGAAAAAGATGCAGCCAAAAGGAATTTAATTTCCAGTGTGCCTTAGTAGGTTTACTCAGAGTTCATGCAATAAGCCAAACTACAAGTGGAGAGTATTCCAAACAGGACTATCGATGGGGAGCCATTATATAAATATATTCTAAATATAGATATGTGCATCTTAGGAAAAAAGTTGCTTTTCATCCAGAAATTTATGACGCCATACATCTATCCCACCTACTTCCTAAAGAAAATGGGTTAGCGTGGTTTGTTTTGCTGCTGGCCCAGTCAGTCCAGGTAAGGGTCCAGATAGCAATTGAAATCTCCCAGGAGTAAAAGGTGAACTTCAGGCTTGTGCACTAAGACCTTTCTAGAGAAAGGAGGAGGGATGTATATCATTGTTAATATACAGTATACAGCCTGCTTTACAGAAACACAACAAACACAAATCGACCATCACTGTCGGTATGTGAAGCAAATTCTTGAAAATCCAATAAGCGTTGTACAATTACACCCAAAGCCCTAGAATAAGAAGTGTGAATAAAGTGATACGCCCATCTAATCCAGGAATACCAGAAGTCCTCCATCAAGTGGGACCATAGATCGCTGGATGATGTTAACGTAGGGCAATTGAAATCATTGTTCTTTTCAAGGAGTTGTTAACTCCCCCAACATTCCAGGAAGTGATAGGTAGATTCACCATGGTACTTGTGAAAATCCTATTGTCACAGATAACTTGTTAGATAGAGTGAGCAAACAGTGGTAAAAAAATTGTGAGCATCTGGCCAAGGGTGCGTATGAGGCATCCCTCAGGTAGGTACGTGGTGGGCATGGAACTCTGGGGCCCTTGTAAGACTCTCAAACCAAGTCAAATGGGTGTTATAATGTAGAACAAGAAGTGATTTGACTGTTCTGGAGAAAATAATTTTGTTGACATGCAAACAACAAGCACAACCGTGCTCCAGGAAAACATGGCCAGCCACAGACCTTTACACTGAAGTTTCAGCCTGTCCATAAGGACTTTCAAGTATGTAGAAAACAACCTAACCAAGGTATTGATTTCAGAAGTAACAGAGTTATTACCAACTGGGCAGTGTTTTTCAAAGCACATTTTATGGTGCGGATGTAGGACCCATAGGGAAGAAAAGCAAACAGTTCCCGTTAATCGTTGTAAATGTTGAAACCAGTCTCACAGTAAAGAGTAAGTGTATATTGCCCCCAGCCAGAAGAAGATATATATCACTCCTGGAATGAAGCAGATCAATTTGGAGTATGATAACCCTGTGCAGATCATGCTAACCCACCCCTGGAAAGAACCCAGGAATGCTCAGTACAGAGCACTCTGTGTTGATTAACAATGAAGGACATAGTAAACATCAGTCATATGTTGTTTTCATATTTCCTATTTGTAATGAACACAGGAATGCTCAGTACAGAGCAATATATGTTTATTCCCAAAGTGATGGGCTGCAGAGAAGGAGATTGAGGACTTTGTGTCCTCAATCTCTTTCTCAAAGTCAAAAGTCAAACATCAGAGGTCTGTTTGGACCCCTGATATTCCACCAAAGCCCACTACAGTGTACAAACACACTTAGGGCCTATTCACACACCAGCGAGTGTGCATACTGCACATGCATTGCAGTGCATTGTTACAGCACGTCACAGTGCTTAGTGTTTTTTTAAATTATGATTATTCAACTCTGTGCTTTGCATTTTGCATTAAAATGTATACCAGCACCATCTTTTTTTATTGATTTGTTAACTCAGTACAGTTTTATCTTTAATATTAGTCGGAATTTATAAGTTATGTTGTGTTTCTGTGTGCGGATAATGATTTTAGTGTAATTTTAGTGAAAGTATAATTTTGATAAACATTTGCACAGCTATCACTTTTTTTCTGCTGGTCCTGTGCGTCTAGAAAATGCCTGATTTGGAGGGTCTTTTACAAACTCTGTAAACTGTAAGTGAAAAAAAAAAAAAAAAAAAGAAAAAGTAAAAAATTGCACAAATAGTCTGGTTGTCTGAGTTTAAAGCTGAATTCCAGGAATTCAGCCACTTTGATACATGTGAGTTAAGTCTAATGTGAGTTAAATCTAATGCATGCCACCCCCTCGTGCATTAAGTCTTATGTATGCCATCTCATGGTCTTATCTCTTTAATTTACATCTGACAGTTTTATTGATTCCAGAAGGATAGATCTCACTATCCAACACTGGTCCTTCAGCAGCAGAGTCGCATGCAGCTGCTGTGCCCAGCCCTCCCCTCTACTGCCCATTCACAGAATCCTTGGTATTTTGTGAACTCATTCACAAAATACAAGGGCTTCTGTGAGTGGGTGGCAGAGGGATGGACAGGGATTCTGTGTGTGAAAACACAGTGTATCCCCTCTCAGAATGTAGCAACTGTGTCATATCTAAATTTAAAGACAATACAGTATCTCACAGAATTGAGTACACCCCTCACATTTTTGTAAATATGTTATTATATCTTTTCATGTGACAACACTGAAAAAATGGCACTTTGCTACAATGTAAAGTAGTGAGTGTACAGCTTGTATAACAGTGTAAATTTGCTGTCCCCCCTCAAAATAACTCAACACACAGCCATTAATGTCTAAAACCGCTGGCAACAAAAGTGAGTATACCCCTAAACCCTATGAATGCTGCCAGCATTGCTGGAGAGGTTGAAGGGTTGGGGGGTCAGCCTGTCAGTGCTCAGATTATACGCTGCACACTGCATCAAATTGGTCTGCATGGCTGTCGTCCCAGAAGGAAGCTTCTTTCAAAGTTGACGCACAAGAAAGCCCGCAGTTTGCTGAAGACAAGCAGACTAAGGACATGGATTACTGGAACCATATCCTGTGGTCTGATGAGACCAAGATGAACTTAATTGGTTCAGATGGTGTCATGCGTGTGTGGCCGCAACCAGGTGAGGAGTACAAAGACAAGTGTGTCTTGCCTACAGTCAAGCATGGTGGTGGGAGTGACATGATCTGGGGCTGCATGAGTGCTGCCGGAACTGGGGAGCTACAGTTCATTGAGGGAACCATGAATGCCAACATGTACTGTGACATACTGAAGCAGAGCATGATACCTTCCCTTCAAAGACTGGGCCGCAGGGCAGTATTCCAACATGATAATGACCCCAAACACACCTCCAAGATGACCACTGCCTTGCTAAAGAAGCTGAGGGTAAAGGTGATGGACTGGCCAAGCATGTCTCCAGACCTAAACCCTATTGAGCATCTGTGGGGCATCCTCAAATGGAAGGTGGAGGAGTGCAAGGTCTCTAACATCCACCAGCTCCGTGATGTCGTCATGGAGGAGTGGAAGAGGACTCCAGTGGCAACCTGTGAAACTCTGGTGAACTCCATGCCCAAGAGGGTTAAGGCAGTGCTGGAAAACAATGGTGACCACACAAAATATTGACAATTTGGGCCCAATTTGGACATTTTCACTTATGGGGTGTACTCACTTTTGTTGCCAGCGGTTTAGACATTAATGGCTGTGTTGAGTTATTTTGAGGGGACAGCAAATTTACACTGTTATACAAAATGTACACTCACTACTTTACATTGTAGCAAAGTGTCATTTCTTCAGTGTGTTGTCATATGAAAAGATATAATAAAATATTTACAAAAATGTGAGGGGTGTACTCACTTCTGTGAGATACTATATGTCCACATGGTGACATGCACCTTGCTGGACTTAACTCATTGTGTGCTGGCACATTTATCAAACTGCTGAAATTCTGGAGTTCAGCTTTAAACAAGATTCCTGACTTGCCTTACAAAGCTCTATTTCCAATGTAGTAAAACTGGATGATAATGAAAATAGAGGTGAAACGACATCAGAATGTTTGGATTCACTGAAGGAACTGATGCTAACAATCCGACTGCATTTACTCTGAACTGGTTCTTACCCACGCCACTACCCTCTTTTTACTGTGGAAAGGGCACCTCTCACTCATCCCTGAATAGTCCAATCAGGCCTATGCTGGCTTGACTGCTGAACTCGTCCAAAAATTCCCATTAGTAAATTTGATGACTTGTTGAATGTTGTTTGAAAGAACGTCAAATTTTTGTTTGCTTTAGGGCGAGTTCACACTACATGCGTTTTTTCAGTTGCTATTTTCTGCATCCAAAATGCACAGAAAGTAGATTATATGGTTGTCAATGTCATAGTTCACATAAGTGCTTGCAGTTCAGTGCATTCTGGTTACAGAAAAAAAAAAGTAGAACAGGCTGCATTTTTTCTGCACAGAACTGTACTGGGACGTTGTAAAACACACCACAAACGCACTGGAACACACCAAAAACGCACTGGAAAGCACATGTCCCTATTTAAATTAAAAAAAGAGGGGGGAAAAATGAACTGCAATGAATAAAAAACACACTGGAACGTGTCAATAACGCGTCAAAAATGTGCATGCGGAAACGCATCTGGACTGCGTTTCTATAGAGTGAGCTGGCCCATAACGTTTGATTTCAGAATAAATGTAATTTCCCTAATGTAATGATTGTAGTACTGTATATACGTAGTCTATAACGCTCATACTATATGACATCACTCAACCCTGCTCATCCTGTGATGATAAAGTATGAGCTGCGTATTGCAGCCTGAGCCATTTTTTTTTCACCCTGGTCAAGGGGCCCTAATACGTTAAAATATTTACCAAGAAATATTTTATATTTTGTAGAGGGAATATGTTGTAGCTATTGAATAAATGCGGGATAGCATAGAAAGTATTTAGTCTCATTATGTGTTGGTTCTTTCTTTCACTTTTGTTATAAAGATACAGGTATATGACCTGTATCATATATGACTGCATAAATCTTAAAATGTTTTGAAAGTAATATTTTGGTATTTGATGTTTTGGTTACTGCAGTGTGGGTCAGCAGAGTACATGGCTCCTGAAGTAGTCGAGGCATTTAATGAAGAAGCATCAATATATGACAAGCGCTGTGACTTGTGGAGTCTTGGAGTAATCTTGTACATCATGCTGAGTGGCTATCCACCATTTGTAGGGCGTTGTGGCAGTGACTGTGGTTGGGATAGAGGAGAGGCCTGCCCAGCTTGTCAGGTAATTTTTGCCATGTTTTAAATTAAAATGTTGGTATCTACTTTTCCACTTACTCTGAACACCGATTTTTAATTTTTTTACAACTTCAACAGAACATGCTGTTTGTAAGTATTCAGGAAGGAAAGTATGAATTTCCAGAAAAAGACTGGGCTCGCATTTCATCTGGTGCCAAAGATCTGATCTCCAAATTGCTACTTCGAGATGCAAAAAAGAGACTAAGTGCAGCACAGGTGTTACAACACCCATGGGTACAGGGGGTAAGTCCTTTCGGGTCTTTGTGCTCAGGGCACTGATTTCAAACAGGAAATAAAAGTATTATTTACAAATAAAATTAAATAATGGTTACTTCTCAGTATTAAGCTTAGTTTGGCCACCCGGAAATATGGGGGAGGAGGGGAGTGTACTTGAAGAGGGATAGTTTAAGTAATATCTCCAGTCTTCCATGCTTCTGCTTATTGGAACTATTTTATGCACTGTTTATAGCTGTAGTGTGCAACAGTAAAATCAGCATTGTATAAACATTTTACTTGTGTATCAAAACAAAAATTACAAATACATTGCTGTGCAAAAGTTTTAGGCAGGTTTTAAAAAAATATGGTAAACCAAGAATGCTCTCAGAAATAGAAGTGTTAATAGTTTATTTTTATCAATTTACAAAATGGATGGTAAATGAACAGAAGAGATATCCAAATCAAATCCGTATTTGGCGTGACCACTATTTGTCTTCAAAACAGTATCTATTCTTCTAGGCACACTTGCACATGGTTTTTGAAAAACTCGGCAGGAAGGTTATTTTAGACATCTTGGAGAACTAACCACAGATCTTCTGTGGATGTAGGTTGTCACATATCCCTCTAACTCTTCCTATAATTTCTGACAGACTTAATGTTGAGATCAGGGCTATGTGGGGGTCAAACCATCACTTCCAGGACTCCCCGTTTTTCTTAACGCTTAAAAGAGAAGTTGAATTGGTCTGATGCTGCATCTGTCAACTGCCAACTCTAAGTCTGTGAATTTAGTGACCAAATACCACTCTCTGCGCTGAATCCCCCCCGCTGATCGCTGGGCTGTGGAGGGGGGGGGGAGGGGATGGGAGCGGGCGTGGCTGGCTCAGGCTCTCAGCTAGGTGCCTGTCCTGGGATCTGGGTGGATCCTGACTCTAAAGTCTGGATCTTTCCCCAGCCTGGACTGGCTGAGTAACTGTACTTCTCCTTTAAGATGATTCTTAATGACATTGGTGGTATGTTTGGGGTTTTTGTCATGCTTCCTGCTGCAAAATAAATTTGGGGCCAATCACACTCCTCATTGATGGTATGGTATGATGTATGATCCTGACCATATCACCAACTCCATTTTTCAGAAATGCAGCCCAAAACTTGCAAGGAACCTCCACCATAATTCACTGTTTCCTGCAGACACTTATTTCTCCACCACTCTCCTTCCCTTCAGGGAACAAACCGCCTAACGCTACAGCCAAATATTTTTTAGATTTGTCAGTCCAGAGCATTTGCTGTAATTTTTCTGCACCCCAGTTCTTATCTTTCCGTGCATAGTTGAGTCGCTTAACCTTGTTTCCACATCTGAGGTATGGCTATTTGGCTGCAGTTCTTCCATGAAGACCACTTCTGGCCAGACTTTTCTGGACAGTAAATACGTGTACCTGTCTCCCACTGGTGTCTGCCAGTTCTGTGCTGATGGCACTGCTGGACATTTTCTGATGTTGAAGGGCATGATGTGTCTTTCATCTGCATTAAGTTTTTTTGGCCGACCACTAGGTCTATGGTCCTTAACGTTGTCCATTCCTTTGTGCCTCTTCAAAAGAGCTTGGTCAGCACAACAGAAAAACTCAGGCTTGCTTTGAAATCTTTGCCTAGGGAAGACATTGCTGATGTAGTATAACTACCTTGTGTCTTGTTGCTGTGCTCAGTCTTGCCATGGTGTAAGACCGACGAAACGGTCTTCCACAACTTCAACTTGATAGCACAGTTTGGCTATTCCTCACCCACTTTAGGCCTACTACACAGCTGTTTCTGTTTCAACTAATTACTGTGTTTCAGCTTGCATATAAAAATTGATGATCATTAGCACCTGCTTGGTATGATTGTTTAATCATACACCTGAATCTAATCTTAAAAAAATCCATGAATTTGTGCAAGTGTAGATCCTGGTTTGAAGCCAAAGGTTAGTCATACCAAATATTGATTTGACTTAGATTTTTCTTCCATTTGCTCACTTTGGATTTTGTAAACTGATAAAAAAAAATAAACAAATTAAAATATATATTTTTGAAAGCATGTTTACTTTACAGCATTTCTTCAAAACATGACTAAAATTTTTGTACAGTACTGTATGTTCAGTAGATGTAGAACATCTGTTAACCGGCTACTATAATTTGCTCCACCATTATGAATGTTTCCCTCATGAGTACATTCTCTTTTTCCTCTTCTTTCTTCATCACTTCTCTTTTCTCTCTTCTCACAAAACTTGATTTTATCAAGTGGAGAATTCAATTGTTTTTTTTTTTTCCTTTATCACAGTGTGCACCAGATAATACACTCCCCACCCCAAGTATACTTCAAAGGTAGTATTTGCATTTTCTTTGACAATATTATTAGTATTTACTGAGGCTCTTTTTTGTTGTGGGAAGTCTTTTTGGGACATGCATAGTTGTGTGTTACTTGCAAGACTGCTACTTTGTCCATTTTCACTGCCATCAAGAAACTGCTGAAAATTCTGTTGCACTACCTCCTTGGAGTTATATTTAATTAAAATGTAATTTTTTATTTAAAAAATATAAAACATTTTTTTTTTTTTTTAAATCAGATTTTATTTAGAGTTTTATAAGGGTTACAGAGCAAAAAGAATAACTTGCTACTCAAGGCAATTAGAAAAAGAAAAAAGGTACATCGTAGTACTAAACATAATAAACAAAATCATTCATAGGGGATGATATCGGTTTTGGAGGGAAACAAGTATCAGGTTTACTAGACACAGTGGGGTTTATTTACTAAAGCTGGAGAGTCCAAAATCAGACTCCCTTCTGCATAGAAACCAATCAGCTTCCAGGTTTCATTGCCAAAGCTTCATTGAACAAGCTGAGGTTAGAAGCTGATTGGTTTCTATGCAGAAGGGAGTCTGATTTTGGACTCTCCAGCTTTAGTAAATAAACCCCAGTGAGACACCTATAGTCAGTCAAGCAGACACAGATTGACTTGAATTTGCATATGGCAGTACACAGGAAGCAAATGTGTTTTTTCCTAGATATGTATCTGTTAAATTCATTAATCCATTCTAAAGTTGGGGTGGATTAGGAGAAGACCATTTCAAAAGTGAGCATTGCATAGACAACAAATAGAAATCTGGTGATTGCCAATGTCAGGTGATCATTTATAGAGGATGTTCCAAAATGACCCAGAGTACAGGTAATTTGATCTGCAGTTAAACTGATTCCCAACAAACCATTTATGGTGCTGATCACCTCAGCATAATAATGCTGTAGTTTGGAACAGTGCTGTAAAAGGCAGTTGAGGGTCCCATTAGGGTGTTCACACGCGCTGCAACAGAGATCAGCTCTGGCACCTATTCTTATGAGAAATATAAGGTTAAGGTTTTACAATTTTTGTTTTTGGGTTTGGAGTTGAGGACTGCTGACATGAACTTAGCTGAACGGTTTCTTTGGGCTATGGTTTGTGGTTAGTAGAGATATAAATAATGTTTAACAAGTAACACCAATTACCACGTTTCACCAATAGCCTGGTTCTTCATACTGTATCTTGAGGAAAGTAACTTGGCATTAACTGAAACTATTAACTATTTTGCTGAAAACTTGCAAAGCAGACAAAAACCTATTGTTATCAAATCTACTTTAAGTGACACATTTGCCCTGCCAAATATCAACTCTAATTGGCAAAATTAAATACCTACCAGCAACTTGGCCTCCAAGGATCAGGTTGGGATGTGAGACACATAGTTATCTATGTTCAGGCAGAGCCAATGATTGGCTGTATTGCTCACCTTTTATCAGCACCTGTGTGACCCACTATTGCCACCCTTGCTTTGGGCTGACAGCTGAAGGTAGTTTAGGTATTGGTTTTGTGTATAGGACAGCATTGCCCTTCTGGTGAGGGCACTTGGGAAGGACGTAAAATACTTTTAAGGATAGCAGAGGATTTTGATCCATTGTAATGTTGTACCTAATGCACTTTAAATATGTTGTGTACTTAGTTGTGTATTTACTTTCTAGCATGTCATTAAAAGTCTGATTTCTTACAGGAACAGTAGTGCCAAAGACCTGACCTCATTTGCTGCAGAAGCTATAGCAATGAATCGTCAGTTAATGGAGCAAGAAGAGGAGCAGCAAATAGCAGACTCTTCTGCGGCATGTCCCACTGTGGTGAAAGTTACGTCTGGCTCCATGCACCTCTCCCCTCCTTCTGATTCTATGTTGGCCAAGAGGCGACAGCAAGGGAAGCATTTCTCCTCAAAGTATAGCACTTCTTCTTATTGTCAGTGATTGGTTGCAGGCAGGCCATTATTTTGCACAGCTATATGAGCACCTGGTACTGATTGGCTTGTTAGAGGGTGTTTTATGAATGTATTGTAAATTGTACAAAGACTTGAACATATTTTATAATCAAAGTCTTTACTTGTATGCATAATGAATGTTTCTGAAAGTCGAACATTTTTTGCAATGGTTATTTTCTAAAACTCTGGAAAAGATAGTTGTTTGGAAGCTTGTGGGGGTAAAACTGTGAATGAAATGGCATTTGACCAAGTTATAGAAGTGATCTATTAAGGTTTATGTAAACCCTAATGCTTAAACAACAGATGCTGTTGCAAATCCCTTTAATGTCATAAAGCTACATTTTATATTTTTGTATACTGCCTGCAACCATACCAGGTGATTCCACCAGCATGGTGTATCCTCTGACACTTCCCTTCCTAGGGTGACAGCACATACTTAATTCAGTTGACATTTTGTCACCCCTTCCTGCATGCTCCCGTGTTGGACTACAAGCAGCCATAGACAGACACACAGTGTGCTGGCACATTTTGCCATAGTCATTAAAGTAAAACTTTGATGTTCAGGTGCCACTGGAGCATATACATGTCCACAGGAGGTTTGTACAATGTTTACAGGATATGCACAGTACAGGAAACAAAACATGAACAAAAAAAAGGGGGGAAATATTTTGTAAACTGTACCTTTTGAACAGTGGTTCTAAAGCTGGCCATACATACTTCAGTTGGACCTCCTGATTGGGTCTCATTTTGCTAGTGTTATGTTTTCAGATTGCAACATTAATGTGTCTGACAAAATCTAACTGGATGTTTAGAACATGAGGTAAACTTCCAGTAGATACAGAGAATAAAAGTGGCTATATGAACACCACAGGTATGCAATTGCAGTTATTATATAACTGGATTGCTTTCCACACCAATGATATAATCTAGGGTGATTGATGTTATTCATATGTGGGTTCCTTTGTCATCCATGTGTAGTGTGTCTATGCAGAACAGGCTGGGTTTTTTTTTGTTTGTTTCTTAGGGTTGTTCTTTCTTGCTGCTAGTCATCCCATATAGTGCCTTTCCCCCATCATAGTCAGAAAATGTAAAATGATAAATAATTCCAAAAAAGGGTGTCAAGTACAGCAAATTGGCTCCTGAGAATCCATATAGAGCTGTTAGCAACAAAATTCTTCCAAGTAAGTGCTCCAGACTGCAAAAATGGTACCACAGCCATTGCTTGCAAAGCTGATTTATGAATGCAGCTAATGGGTACCAGCTTCTGTGTTAAAAAAAAAAAAAATCAAGCTCCTTTCAATAGTCTTTTTAAATACACCAGTTACCTCAGAGGGAAAGGAAAATGAAAAGAGAAAGAGAGTTCTGTTGCTGAACTTGCATTTTACCATATTGGGTTGTCTTTAGCCTTGCAAGAGTTTAGGCCTTTCATTTCAGGATAATAGTATTCAGAATTGTTCCTTGCTGGCCTTAAATGACTTGATTTGCCATATTGTGTAATCTTTCCAATCTCAGACCATATATTTTTTTTTTCTATTTAATTAATGTCTTCAAGGTATGATTTAGTACCCCTTAGGTCTAAATGTTTAAAGTTGACCCTTTCACAATATAAGCCAAAATACTAAAGTGCAACTAAACCCAAAAGCACAAAATTAATACAGTATCTCATAGAAGTGAGTACACCCCTCCCATTTTTGTAAATATTTTATTATATCTTTTCATGTGACAACACTGAAGAAATGACACTTTGCTACAGTGTAAAGTAGTGATTGTACAGCTTGTATAAGTGTAAATTTGCTGTCTCATCAAAATAACTCAACACAGCCATTAATGTCTAAACCACTGGCAACAAAAATGAGTACACCCCTAAGTGAAAATGTCCAAATTGGGCCCAGTTGGCAATTTTTTCCCTCACCTGTGTCATGTGACTCGTTAGTGTTATAAGGTCTCAGGTGTGAATGGGGAGCAGGTGTGTTAAATTTAGTGTTATCACTCTCTCATACTGGTCACTGGAAGTTCAACATGGCACCTCATGGCAAAGAACTCTCTGAGGATCTGAAAAAAAGAATTGTTGCGCTTGGCTATAAAGATGGCCTAGGCTATAAGAAGATTGCCAAGACCCTGAAACAGCTGCAGCACAGTGGCCAAGACCATACGGTTTAACAGGACAGGTTCCACTCAGCACAGGCCTCGCCATGGTCGACCAAAGAAGTTGAGTGCATGTGCTCAGCGTCATATCCAGACGTTGTCTTTGGGAAATAGACGTATGAGTGCTGCCAGCATTGATGCAAAGGTTGAAGGGGTGAGGGGTCAGCTTGTCAGTGCTCAGACCATACGCAGCACACTGCATCAAATTGGTCTGCATGGCTGTCGTCCCAGGAGGAAGCCTCTTCTAAAGTTGATGCACAAGAAAGCCCACAAATAGTTTGCTGAAGACAAGCAGACTAAGGACATGGATTACTGGAACCATGTCCTGTGGTCTGATGAGACCAAGATAAACTTATTTGGTTCAGATGGTATCAACCGTGTGTGGCGGCAACCAGGTGAGAAGTACAAAGATAAGTGTGTCTCGCCTACAGTCAAGCATGGTGGTGGGAGTGTCCTGGTCTGGGGCTGCATGAGTGCATTGAGGGAACCATGAATGCCAACCTATACTGTGACATACTGAAGCAGAGCATGATCCCCTCCCTTCGAGACTGGGCTGCAGGGCAGTATTCCAACATGATTACGACCCCAAACACCTCCAAGATGACCATTGCCTTGCTAAAGAAGCTGAGGATAAAGGTGATGGACTGGCCAAGCATGTCTCCAGACCTAAACCTTATTGAGCATCTGTGGGGCATCTCCAAACAGAAGTTGGAGGAGCACAAGGTCTCTAACATCCACCAGCTCTGTGATATTGTCATGGAGGAGTGGGAGAGGACTCCAGTGGCATCCTGTGAAACTCTGGTGAACTCCATGCCCAAGAGGGTTAAGGCAGTGCTGGAAAATAAGGGTGGCCACACAAAATATTGACACTTTGGGCCAAATTTGGAAATTTTCACTTATGGGTGTACTCACTTTTGTTGCCAGCGGTTTAGACATTAATGGCTGTGTGTTGAGTTATTCTGAGGGGGCAGCAAATTTACACTGTTATGTAAGCTGTGCACTCACTACTTTACATTGTAGCAAAGTGTAATTTCTTCAGTGTTGTCACATGAAAAGATATAATAAAATATTTACAAAAATGTGAGGGGTGTACTCACTTCCGTGAGATACTGTATTTTGTATAAATCCCTTGATATGGTGGCTGCAATAATTTTCTTTTTTTTTTTTCCATCTATTGATTGGCCAGTAACACTCCTTCTGTCTTAGGGCAATTACATTCACTCCTCCACTGTATTTACACTGTGTTCACAATTAAGTCATGATTTTTATGATTGTCCAGCTCCAAGCTGTATAAACTTGAATGTTTATTGGATTTAAGTATATCAGGTGATGTGTATTTGTGTAACAAGGGAGGGTGTGGCCTAAGGAGATTAACACCCTATATCAAGGTGTGCATAATTATTAGGCAGCTTCTTTTCCTCAAGCAAAATAGGCCAAAAAAGAGATTTAACTGACTCTGAAAAGTAAAAATTGTAAAAAAAAGTCAGAAGGATGCAGCACTCTTGAAATTGCTAAGATATTGCTGCGTTGATGGAGTGCTAAGAAGAAGCAGTTAAACACAGCAATTGAACTAAAGCAGAACACAAGCAGCAGGAAGACACAACAACAGCAAGAAACTCTACTGCATGCTGGACAGACTGCAAGCAAACACCTTGGGAAACATCTCTTACAAGTCTGAGTCCCACTTCGTGTACCTTTTAATATGTCCCCTCCATTCCTCCTTTTCATATTACTTTCCTGCATTCCCAAAATCTCACTTCTTTATCCCTCTGCTCCACCCCAAAACTTGTACATCTCACCCTCACTGCTACCATCTCCCTACTACTACTCTCATCACCTCCTGCTGATACTTTACTCTCCTGCTGACCCAAACACCAGGAATGGAAGGCATGTGCGCTCGTGTCCTTCCTGCCCCCATGTTACTGTCCTCACCCTTCTTCTCCTAACCTCTGGGGATATCTCCCCAAACCCTGGTCCCTCACCCTCCACTCACCCACTAGGCACCCTCCTACTCCCATGAACCGCCACAACCCCCTTAACCTTATACCTGTCCCCCTGCTCCCCACATCCACCCCTCCACTCTCGGTTGCACTCCTGAACGCCCGATCAGTTTGCAACATCATCGCCATCCATGACCTCTTTATCTCCCACTCCCTCAGCCTCCTAGCAGTCACTGAAACCTGGATCCAAGCCACTCACTCCGCCTCCCCTGCGGGACTCTCCAATGGAGGTCTCGTCTGGTCCCATTTACCAAGACCGAGTGGTCGTAGAGGTGGTGGGGTCGGCGTGCTCGTCACCGCTGACCACCTTCCAGGTCCTCCCAAACCCCCCCTCTCTATCCTTCTCCTCCTTCGAGGCCCACTGCATCCGACTCTTCTCCCCCACCTCTGAGGATTGCAGTAATCTATCGGCCTCCTGGACCCGTATCCCGCTTCCTCGATGATTTTTCCGCCTGGCTGCCCTTCTTCCTCTCCTCTGAGCTACCCACCATCATCCTCGGAGACTTCAATAACCCTATCAATGTCAACAACCCGGCTACATCCCAACTTCTCCGCTTAACCTCTTCTTTTGCACTCACACAGTGCACACAGTCCTCCACCCACACCGATAGGAACACCCTGGACCTCGTTTTCTCCCATCTCTGCACCCCCCACAACCTCACTAACACCCCTTTCCCTCTCTCTGACCACAACCTCATTACGTTCTCCATCTCCCCGTCCTCTAACGCCTCCTCCCCAAACATCAAACCATCACCAGCCGTAACCTCCGCAACCTGAACCCAGCCCCTCTCCACTCTGCAGCTGACCGTCTATACGACAGTATCCTTCCACTGTCATGCCCTGA